GTGGTCAACATCTCAGTTGTGGATGCTTTACGAGATAAAAGTCCATCCCAGTTAAGAGTAGCATTCTGGCGGCGGGTGCTGCTTACTGGTTTCCCTTTCTCTGGTCGGAAATTCCAAATCAAGGACAATCATACTTTATTACATATGTTTCTGAAAGTGCCGTCAAAACTGAAAACACGAATACCCCACGGTTAAATATTTTTATAATTTATTTTCATAACAATGAATAAAAAAGAAAATCTAAGTAGCTCCTTTTCATAAACCGCGGTATATGTCAGAATCGGGAAGAATGAAAGAAACCGAAGGAAAGGTCAAGGTTCATATTTTGATATAGTTGGATGAGTTTACGTTGCAATGAAACCACATCCACAGCTTTCCATTATATGAAGGTCGTGTTTATGATATGGTCGCTCCAAATAACCACATGTTGTTTGTTCGTAGCGTTTACTTTTCCTATTCTGCACACTCATTGTTCGTAACGTTTACTTTTCCTATTCTGCACACTCATTGTTCGTAGCGTTTACTTTTCCTATTCTGCACACTCATTGTTCGTAACGTTTACTTTTCACATCCTGCACACTCATTGTTCGTAGCGTTTAGTTTTTCACATTATGCACACTCATTGTTCGTAACGTTTACTTTTCACGTCCTGCACACCCATTGTTCGTAGCGTTTACTTTTCACGTCCTGCACACCCATTGTTCGTAGCGTTTACTTTTCACGTTCTGCACACCCATTGTTCGTAGCGTTTACTTTTCACATTCTGCACACTCATTGTTTGTAACGTTTACTTTTCACATTCTGCACACCCATTGTTCGTAGCATTTACTTTTCACATTCTGCACACTCATTGTTTGTAACGTTTACTTTTCACATCCTGCACACTCACATAACTGTACTTATAGTATAAATGGACTGCCCTTTCACCTTGGTTGTGTCCCGATTGGACAGCAGTAAATTTATAAACTTACATCACTAAAATCCGGGGTTCGATTCTCCACGAAGGACACAGCCCAGTGTGGTTTTGTTTAAAAAAACAAATCTAAATCATTTTGGTTCTCTTCCATGAGAAAAATCTTTCCGTGCTGATATGGAAGTTTATTTGATTGTAATGTCTTTGTATTACAAAGGTTCTTGGGTTGATTTGAGTGAGTTTGAATAAAAACTTGAAAATGTATTCATGCTTTTGACGATTGTCATTTTCACACCATAATGTAATTTCAGAAAACTTAAGAATAGCGTGAAATAATCAAATGTTGAAGTACCATACAATTGTTATAAATCGTTGTATCACGGAATACGTGATATCTTAAATATGTATACCAGTGTTAAAAGGGGGGAAAGACATCAAAAGAATAACTTTTTAAAGTCCATCCCACTAGTATGTAACATAAAACTATCCCTTAGTTTTTATTCAAAAGTGTCTTGATAATATGTTATTATAGCCAGAGCTCTGAACTTTTTTATCGGGGGCGGTCACTAACTCATTTACATTGAATGTCATCTTTTACGAACGTGCCATCATCACACGAATTTTCTGTTTGAAATGAAGCAAGCTGTGAATTAACCCACCCGTAAAGGCTTTAGCTAAACACAGAAATCACAACTCAGAAAATAACCCCTGTACTTGTTTCCTGTATGGTATTGTTCGATGCGGGAGTATCCCTCAATATTGCACAGTTTATTAGGTCAAAAGGTGGCGCTGCCGAGTCTCACCCATCATTAGGTTTCATCACCTAGCCTTAGCGGCGTTGTATGTCTGAAAATAAGCTTAATATAATAACAAGAAGAAAGAGCGAGAAAATTTAAGTTATATGACTGAGATGAGACTTTTATCATAAACCTTGTGCTCGTGACTCCCTAAACCAAAAAAAGTAGGGCACACGCAAGGAATGCTAGGATAAATGGTGATGATGGTGGTACAGAGGAATTTGTTTGGAGGAAAGGAAGCGAGGGAGCTAACAAGGAAATGTTAAGCATGCGCGTGACTGCGCATGTTCTAGGTAGATCCAAGTTTTCTGCCACATTGTTCTACTCTTCCAGGGTCACCTACTGGTCAATAAGTAAAATATCTTAGAACATTAGAAAAATAAACATAGAAAATAATGTGTGCACTAAAAAAACACTCTGTATTTGCATGTTTTGTTGGTTTTTACTGACAAGTTGCTACGAAAATAACATTGTTTTCGGTAATTTATTTATTTTTTTCTCTGTTTAATAATTAAAGAAATATTTCTTGCAATAACCAGTAACGTATATTGTTAAAATATAAGACATTTATATATAAATTGTTGAGTACAGGCTTTAAACAAAAGTGAATAAGAGTCATACAGGTAGTAATATCGTTAGGGAATTAGCGTGTTAAATATAACTATATATTGAATTGTAAAGCATCACAAGTTTATATTTTTGTGTAAAGCTATTAGAGGGCTATCTGCGCTAGCCGTTCCTAATTTAGCAGTAGTAGACTAGATGGAAGGCAGCTAGTCATCACCACCCACCGCCAACTCTTAGGCTACTCTTTTATCATCGAATAGTAGGATTGACCGTCACATTATAACGTCCCCACGGCTGAATTGGCGAGCATTTTTGATATGACGAGTATTCGGACCCGTGACCCGGAGAGTGCGAGTCGAGCACCCTAACCACCAGGCCATGCCAGGCCAAACTTCTGGTTAAAAGTAAGCTAACTATATGAAAACTAAATTATAAGCTGTATATTAATGAAGACAATTCTATAAAATAAACTGACGAGAATTACATAATGCTGGTCGAGCGTGGCTCAATGGTTAGCGTGCCAAACTGTGGATCTCGCCCTTTTACCACCAAAACAAAATTTCACTCCGCATTTTGAGGCCATGTGTGCGTTATAAGAATAACGGTCAAATCCCACTATTCTATTAGAGTTGTCCACAAGTTGGCGGACGGAGGGTGGTGTTGACTAGCTACCTTCTCACTAGTTTGTCTCTTCAAAATTAGAGAAGGCAAGTGCAAATAGGCATAGAGTAGCTTTTGTCACTTGAAAATTAGAGAAGGCTAGCACAGATAGCCCTAAAGTAGTTGTTGTCACTCCAAAATTAGAGAAGGCTAGCGCAGATAGCCCAAGAGTAGCTTTTGTCACTTCAAAATTAGAGAAGAAAGTGAGCAATACGATAAATTATTATGCTAATACGTATCTTATAATAATAATATAACCAATACAATATCAAAATACTATTTATAATTATCGCTATTAACCCTAGTTTCGGTCGTAATACCAATATCTCGCGAGATTCGGCCAAGTTAAGAAATTTGGGTTAGTCCTAAGTTCATACACAATACAAAGTAACCATCATATGTTTAATATTAATTGTAATAATAATAATAACAATAAACAATAATAATATTCAAAAGGATTTTAATTGTTATAACCAATTAAATTAATGAAACTAATCTGAAAGAAAAATGGAAGATGTTTTTCTTCACAAAACACAAAAAAAGGCAGTTGTCTGCTTCTAAGACCCACACAGCTTGACAATACATGAAACCTGAATATCCTTGAAAGTTTTCACGTACTTACAGTAGTACACACCCAACAACATAACAACTCGACGATACAGAAAGCAATAAAGGACTAAAAATCATAAACAAAAGAACACTAGCCGCCCATACAAAGAATTATACAGATTTTTTGTCAATGACCCCTTACGTAAAACTGTGACACCAGATCTCTCTGTAATCGATTTCTTGATGCTGCCAGTGTAAGAATTAAAAGTGAGAAATTATTTTAACCCTAACTTTCCATGTGTTTTATACAATTTTAATTCTTCAACGAGTATTTGGAAATATTTTTATAGGTTTTCACTTGTGGAGGGATTTCGACAAAAATTAACAATAATTTGAATCCAGTCGAGCAATGTTGATAATTAATTGATCATTTTTAATTAAACTCTTGTCTATCGATTTCGTTAGCCAATCGACAGAGTTTGAATAAAAAAATGCCCTCTTGTGGCTTAGCAGTAAGCTTGGAGCTAGAATTCGAAATTCGATTCCCACTGTGAACACAACGCAGATAATTCACATGCAGCTTTGCTCGAAAACCAGCAAACAAACAATGGTAAAAAATAAAGACTATTTATCAACCTCCTAGGAAAAAAATCAGTCTCTAATCTCAAGCGCGTTCGTTTCTGGTCCAACAAAGCGTTTTTCTGAATGTATAACTCAAATACATTTTTTCGATGAACAAACCATGTATACTAAACGTATGCGTGTCTTTACATCTTTCTTCGGGCTGAATGAAGAGTTTCTTATATCAATCTTTGATTTTTTTATCATTCTAGAACCTTCCTACAACCCAGTTGTTCTAAACATTTGAAACTGTGTGCTATATGTATAATATTCATCGGAAAAACGATTTGCTTTCAATAAACTAACGGTATCTTCTTTGTTAGATAAATAGAAAATGAAGTAAGTTGCCAAAGCTTTGTTGTTGTTTTTTGTTGAATTTAGCGCAAAGTTACTCAAGGGCTACTTGCTCTAGCCGTCCTTAATTTAGAAGTGATAGACTAGAGGAAAGACAGCTAGTCAACACCACCCACCGGCAACTCTTGAGCTACTCTTTACCACGGCTGAAAGGGGAGTATGATCGGTGAAGGGACTCGAACCCACTACCATACTTGGCCGGTTGTCAACATAATGTTATTTTTCTATCAAAAGTAGTTGAGTTTACTATTTACAAAGTTTTAGTTATCATAAAGCACACATTTTCTTTTTATAAGCCACATCAGTTCTTTTCTTTTCAGACAGACTCCGTTGTTTACGTCAGTCCTTTTCTTTCCAGACTCCGTTGTCCACGTCAGTCCTTTTTTTCTCAGACTCCGTTGTTAGTCTTCCACTTCCTTTAGGTTTTGTCATCCACTTTATCAGAAAAGTTTCAGCAGCGTTTTTTATTCAATATCATTTTTTGTGTGAATATCTTTTAGGAGATTATTGTCGTAGTATTGATAATATTTCATTTTCAGTCTTTCTTTGGACGAACCTACAACAACTTGTCGGCACTGGGAGAGTGTAAAAACAATGGTCAGTGTGTCATCAACAAGAAGAATCGGACTTCCTGCAAAAGTTGTCGTCTGAAGAAATGTATCTTGGTTGGCATGTCGAAAAGCGGTACGTTTCCACACGATTATTAAACGTATTTTTTTGTTGGAATAAAGAAATAAAATCCCACAAAGACAAATACGGACGCCTCCGTATCTCAGCAGTAGTCACGTTGGTGTGTAAGGGTTAATTAAGTTATAATAGTTAGTGGAGAAATCGCAGTCAAGACATTATGAAAACATAACCCACTTTCAGACGTATGTTTAGTATTTTCAGACGTATTTTAGTATTTTCAGACGTATGTCACTGCTATGTATATGACATATTCTTAATGATGAGCTTATTGCTCTTTCACGTGCAAAATGTGACGTGACGTCGTGTAATTGGAAATGAAATATTACTTGTTTTCAGAAAGTATGGAGGGTTATGGAGGGTTTAAAACGGATTTAGATATTTGGTTATTTTAACTAAGTTTAAAAGGTTTTTTTACAAAGGAATTCTAGAATAAACTACGAATGGTATGTTTCTATAAAGTATAATCAGTATATGTTTTAAATATAAAACTTTAGAATTTGACAAATGATGTGTGCTGAACCTTAAAAAATAAGTTTGATTTCCTTTAAGCAGGCCCCCTGGTGGCTCAGCGATAAGTCTGAGAGTTTATAACGCTAAAAATAGGCTTTCGATACCCTCGATGGGCAGAGCACAGATAATACAATGTGTAGCTTTGTTGTTTAATGACAAACAAACAGAAACACCTCTAAACAATTTGTGTTTGAATATCAACTGAATCTTATGAAGAATGTACTGTACAATTCTTCATATGGCCAGCAAAGGTTTAAAAGAACGATTACACAATGAGATATTTGATTTGACTGAAAACACACACACACACATTACAACCGCAACCTTAACTCTGACTAATTTTAATGATTTGTTCTATAAATTTGTTTAAAAAGAGAGATTTATTTCAACGCTTCTGTTCCGATGATAGGTTTAGTTGTTTGGAACATTAACAAATAACCTAAACTAAGTAGTTCATGTTTCAGGTAGTTTCTTTTGGAGCATGTCGAAAATTGATGAAATGATTTGTTATACTTTTTTCTTGCAAAGCATTATTATAACACTTCTCACATTTCTTTTACGTTGGTTTTAATGTTGACGAAACACCAAGCTAATTCCTGATTTATTAAGCTAAACTTTTGGTGGTTTAGTTTTTGTGACAATATTTTTGGAAAACATAAAAAAATAATTAATTAATTAACTTTTATCTATTTTAACAGCTAATATTCTAACCCTAAAATGATTATAATTTTAGGGAGCTTGACAGCCTGAGCAAAATGTTTGGTAATTTTTAATGCGATGTAAAAGATAATAGCACTTATTTGTTATTCAAGGAAAACAGTATATTTAATACTTCTCAAATATCTCGATGTAATAACGAGTTGTTTCCAAATGGTCAATGGTAAATTTATGGACTCATAACGCTAAAATCCGGTAGTTGATCCTCATGGTTGACAGAGTGAAGATAGCCTACTGTGTAACTTTGCACTAAAACAAAGAAATAAACAACTAGGTAACCGTTAGCTTTACCTTTTTTTTTTTTCCTTACAGAGTTTAATAGGAAATGTCTGAGTGCTAACATTCTGTTGCAAATTAAACTCTTAAAGACAAAAGCAAAATTACACTTTTATGAAGTCAATGGTCTGTTTTCCTTTGTTCTTTATCATGTTTTAGATGATGTTAACCGTTTTTATGATCATTATATAATCGTTTAACTAAGGTATAATTATAGATCTATAAGTGATAGCATAGAGTAAAATATATTTCCTTATTTCTTGTTTGAAATTTTCCATTTAATGTTTTTTATCACTTACTATGCTATTCAACGAAATATTAAGACGTCAATGATAAACTAGTGGTGTGATCTATGTTATAGGTTCCCGCTATGGACGTCGATCCAATTGGTTCAAAATACATTGCTTAATTCAAGATCAAACAGAACTGAATGGAAGAATAGCCGATCAAGCTGCCTTATCAGATGGACAATCGCATTACAAAAACAAGGATTTGATTTCTTCCATCAAGTCAGAGTACAGAGAAGACAGTAGCTCGATGACATTACCCAACGGAATAAATCAAGGTTGTGATGTAAACAATCTAATGAAGTCTTCTTTGCCTTTCAGCGTACACGATACCAAATTGTTACCTAATAACTTTGGACATCTCGAACCGTCCAATAACTCGTATGAACGCAAGGAGAACATTAGCTACCACAGTCTTCCATTGTCTCCCATTTCCCCCATGTCTCCTGTGAATCCAAACAATTTTTTATTTTATCAAAGCAGTGGGGCATTTTTTACCAAAGGATACAACAGATCAACAAAACTTTATAGCCCAGACATTAATTACAACTACTGCCCGAGGTATCTTGACGTCAACAAAATTGATCCGGTGCTGAAGACACCACAAGATGGAGTGCCAGTTGCCATGGATTATGTGGCGGATACTCCGGAGCAAGAAACACCAATTGACCTATCTGTAAAAAAATACCCATCTCCAGTAATGACAAGTCACAACCTTTATTTGATCAACAAGCGTAGCCCACCACATCTAACAGATAATTCACCACTAGTGAATGTTTCGGAAACTCCTTTAGACCTAACGAGAAAAATGTGATGATAATGGCACTCTGAAGACGAAGTGTTTTGTGCCAGTAATTAGAATACTTTTTTCACCCTAAGACTACGTTGTGTGTTAAGACCATTGGCAATGGATGATGTCTCCCCGAAAGGCTATTTTAATGGGTGTGGATTATTGTTGATATTATTTAGAGGGGAAAAAACAAAGCAAGCATTAAATTAGCCATGGAAGTGTGTTTTAACCTGGCACACTTGTTGTTTCTCCGGATTTATGGAATCTACTTAAGTATTTTTATGAGTTGTTAATTGTCACATCCATCATTACGGGTTAGATTGGACTTCGATACAGAAAAAGAGATAAACATACTTAACTGTGACATGATCGTACGTCATTGGTCAAATGACTTTTAACTGTAACATGATCGTACGTGATTGGTCAAGTGACTTGAAGGCCAGTGTCAACTACATCGATTGTCAACCACTTATTACTTGTTATAAACTTTTCGTACAACAATAAATGCGTCAGTAATGATATGCAGAGTTAAACCCAAAAGAAAACAAAATTCAGCCTTCACTGTTCAATGTACAGAGTAGGTAATATAAACTGTAATTGTGCTGCATTGAAAAGTTCCATCAAACAGGATGTTTCATGAGATACTTCTCATTTGGAGCTTTTTTTTTAAATTAATGTAATGTTAGTATGTTATATATATATGTGTGTGTGTGTGTGTGTGTCTATGTCGTATCCAAATAGCGGAACTGTCCATTTTAAACGGATCCACATCCTTTAATGTTTTGCAAAGGTTTTCGTTCAATCTTGGATCTGTCCAGTAACAGTAATCATGGTTGAATACATTTGTCGAAGCCATTCCACAAATCCACAATACAGTCTATAGATGTCCTAGTGCTTAAAAAAAGTAAAAAACAAAGTTTAACTCTACATTTACTCAAAAAAGTAAAAACAAAGTTTAACTCCACACTTACTCAAAAAAGTAAAATATGTAGCATAACTGTAGTTCTTTAGAATCATTTATATCCTAAAGATTAGAGTAGGAATTTAAATGGTGTTACATAAATGTGAAACCATTTCATGAAATGGACAATTCCACAATGTGGATGCAGCAGATATTTTGCAATCGAGTTGTGATATAGGTTATAGGTTACGTGACAAACACCGAATTGACGTTAACAGGAAGAATAAAATATTAGTACAAGCTTAAACTTTCTTTTTTATCGTTATTATTATTATTATTATTGCTCCATCAAACAGTGTTTCAAAGTGTTTAACTTTATAATTGAGTATAATATTAGTTAGCATTCTGTGATGGTCTCGTATCAATGTAGCATTTGTTGCGACAAAATGATGTTATTAACTGGGACACAAAGGCAACACAAGTCCTAGTGTGTGTTTCAAGAAATGGATCTGTGATTTACAAGTCAACTGGCATATGCTGGGGACGTTTTAGTTCACCCAAAAGGTTAGACAAGATCAGTGCTATGAATCCACACTGTTGTTTAACTTGATGTTGCGTACTGTTTTGTCGCATTCAGATGTCAACAAATGTGTCATTGGTGCTGAATATGACACGTGAGTTTTTTTTTTAATAAAATGTAGGACTTAACGTTCTTTTCAACGTAAGTCGATCTTTACAGGGTGCTTTTCTACTTCACCTCTAGTATTTATTTTAAAAAATACATTCCTCGTGCTATCATCAGCTTTAAATTTCCAAGATATGAACTCAAAACTAATCTAACAAGAGTTTAAAATGCTACGTTAGTCATGGTATTGTTATACCATGTTAAATTTGGAAATAATAATATGAAGGAATGAACTCAAGTCACAAATAGTTAATGGTGCTTGTTTTGATTTTCGGCGAGTATAGAGTTCTTTAATAATGAAAGTAATCAAGACAAAAGTGATATTATAATTGCATTTAGAATCATAGGGCCCATCATAGTTCCCTATAATAAACAATTATATTCGTATAGTTTCTGCATTAGAAGTACTTAGAAGTTTAAGGCATTGTTTATTTTAGTATAAGTTACCAGGTTTATCTCAAGTTTCATTTTCTTAATCCTACAAACCGTTATTAATTCTCCATTTTTCTCCCTTTCTTGGTTATATCTTAGTTATCGTATGTAAATAATATAGCTTGAGAGTTGAAGAATGTGTGAAGTATATGGATATTTTTCAGTAAATAATATAGCTTGCCACGCCTCGAGAGTTCAAGAATGTGTGAAATATATGGATATTTTTCAGTAAATAACATAGCTTGCCACGCCTTGAGAGTTCAAGAATGTGTGAAATATATGGATATTTTTCAGTAAATAACATAGCTTGCCACGCCTTGAGAGTTCAAGAATGTGTGAAATATATGGATATTTTTCAGTAAATAACATAGCTTGCCACGCCTTGAGAGTTCAAGAATGTGTGAAATATATGGATATTTTTCATACGGTATTTAAGTGTCAGCAGTTTGCATGCTGTTTTCTATTTCTTTAAAGTCTGTAGCTGTAATATCTGTTAAGAATCATGACTTCTTAGTTGTTTTAAAGCTTAAAGTTTGATTTACGTAAAAATGTGAGTGCCTTAAATAACGGTCATGCTTTAAATACGTTACTTATATACATTACTAAATACCATGTGGTTTGTTAAACTCGGGATAACTTTATTTAAATTTCCACAAATTCTCTATTTTACACAACTGAAAATATTTGATTAACTTGAGTCAATTATGTAAAAACGGTTATAGTTAAAAAGCCTTTTAACAAGGAAGATATGTTAAAGTAACTAAAGTATTGTTGTTAGTTTTCTTTAATCGGAAAAGCTGCCACGCTATTAACAAAGCCTTTGAAATCCATTATTTCAACGAAGGGTGTTTTACCATGTTTATTGTATTGCGTTTTTGCATTTTCCAATGTTTATTAGTCTTCAACGCCCTTTAAAGACCAATATTGAAAAGCAATACGCAAATGAGGATTACAATCTCGAATTCAGATATTCATCACACACAAAACGGCCGAGTCATTTATTTAAATACTGAGAATATATGATAACAACGCTGAAGACAAACAACGTTTTATTGCTGGACATTTCAAATTACGAAACAAACTACCAAAAAAAATCTATTTTATAATAAAATTCACGTACGTACGATAATTGGGCAAGACAAAAACGAAATGTCCGCGAACACAAGGCAAAACCACATCCAAAACTGTCTAATCTTTGTACATCCGCGCTATTCGTACAAACATAAAAAAAAAGCAAATGCGTTATTCTCCACTTATAAACTTTTTAATTTCGTCTGACGTGAAATGCCTGACGAAAGAATACACATCAGTAATCATGGTTTTATAACTGTAGCAAACGCACCTTTTTTCAAATGAGCCTTAAATTGTTTTCTAAGCACGCATCTTAAATTCAACTATAATTTCTTCTGGAAAGACACAACCGTTTTTCCCCTCCTCAGCTTATTTCATTAGAAACTAATTAGTTTTTCAAATATATAATATTTCGCATTATATTTTATGATATTATGGAAGGAAGCTTGATATTTTGTTTTTGTAACAAATAATATTCCTTAAAGTCTTACTTATGACCTAATTTGGAAAGTCCAACAATGAACAGTAATTTGTTTAACACAGACGCTCTCATCTTCCTTGTTATTTTACGGGTGAGGTTTCAAAATCCGACCCAAATGTGCTGCAAACCTAAATATGTGAGATACCATACAAAACTTGTTCTATCAAAACTTACTGTCGCCAATTTAAATCTTTAAACAAATTATATCTCTATCTATGAAGTTATTTAATAAATGTCTGTGTCTTTAAAAATCATTATATTTAGTCTTATAATTCATAATGTTGTTAGAGTTATATTTTTAGCCTTTAATACCCGTTGTCTTTCATTACTATTACTTCACCATTTCTATATACTTGTGTTCTTTACTTCCCTAGTTTAAATAGCTGACAGTATTCCCTATTGCCACTTTTCACTTTAATAAACTTTCATTTACTACTGTTATTCCTTCCTTCGTTATTTACTACTGTTATTTCTTTATTTTCAAATATCATTATTTAGTGTTGTTACTTCTTCCTTCATTATTCACTACTATTATTTCTACCTTCGTTATTTACTATTGTTATTTCTTTTATTCCAAAAATCATTATTTAATGTTGATACTCCTTTCTTTATTATTCATTACTGTTATTTCTACCTTCGTTATTTACTATTGTTATTTCTTTATTTTTAAAAATCATTATTTAGTGCTGTTACTCCTTCAGACTTTAAACTTTGTTATTTAGAACTGTTACATCATTAGTATTACATAACTCTCGCTATTCAGAATTGTTACTTCTTAAGTCTAATAGAATCGTCATTAAAGAACCTGTACTTTTTTGTTAGCTACCCTCCTTTACACACAGTTGTTATTTTTTTGTGTTGGCTTTTGGTCGAGTTATTTTAGTTTAAAAAATGGTCTTTATTCAGAACAGTTCTCTCTTTTTGGTTTAACTGTTGGTTTTAAGATCTTATAATTTTGAATACAATTATGCAGCCCATGCATGAATGAAATGGTACTTCAATTAATGAACTGAACAATGGTCAAAATCAAACAACTCTCTGTAAATATAACATATGTTGATTTAGTGTGTAGAAAACGTTTCTCCCAGTATTTCTGGATCATAGGGCATAAGCATCACGCTATCCATGACGTTTTGAATAGTACAAAATAAATATTAAAAAGAACGATTATGTAAGGTGTTGTCCTTCAAGACAAATTGATAGCAAACTATTCGTGTAAGAACACATACATTCCATAAACTATAGTATTATCCTTCCATACGTATAAATTTTAGATAAATAGTGATAACATTATTCATAATGAGTATGTTGAATTGGTCAATTGAATATTTTTCATTCATTCCGAGAGTGAACTTTTAACTTTGATTCAACGTGTTTATGTAGTGTGGCATTTTTACTTTTATATTGGATGTATATCTCAGAGTAAGTTTGTCTACTCTTAAACTTCTGAAAAG